ATAACCCCCCTGTGCGCGCCGCCAAGGCCCCCTGGGCCCGAACAGGGGCGACACCGCCCGGCCAGAAGAACATCGCGGCGCCAGGATCGCAGGGGTCCGCCGTGCCGACCTTGGCCACCAGCTGCATGATCCCGGCCCCCGTGAACGTCTCGGGCGGGAGGGCCCCGGGGGAGGGGTGCGCGCGCACGGGGGGGGCAGGCGCTCGCGGCGGAGGCCCCGTGGGGGGCGGCAGATTTCCGTCTGTGGGGTGGGGGGGGGGGCAGCCCAAGGTTCAGAGAACAACGCGCACTCAAACCTGTAGCGAGGAGGCGACGAGAGGAGGAGGAGAGGAGGAGGAACAGGAGGAGGAGAAGGATCAAGGAACGAGGTCAAGGGAGGGAGGTTCGGGGAGGTTGCGGACGATTGATAGAAGTACTGCGCACGCTTGAACCTGTAGGGAGGAGGTGTGGAGAAGGGCGAGGTGCTCACCGTGCTATTGGCATAGGTGCGAGCTGTCAAACCCCGAGGGGGGCCTCCCGTTCGAGGGACACCCATCCGACAACGCACACCCATCCGAAATCTGAAGGATGGATGCTAGCTACCAGCTCACGACCTAAACTCATTCGGGCTGAGTCTTTGCCTCTCTCCACCAACGCCAACTCACAACCTTCGCCGCCCTCTCACCGCTGCCCCCCGCCCGCACGCCAGGCGCAGGGCAAGGCAGGAGTTTAGGGAATCGACAGCAAACGCGACACAACAGCACCACAAGCAGATTAGGTGGCCACGTGTGAACCTACCCCCACCCACCGCGACTTCTCAGGGGGTTGGGGGTTCACTCCGCTCGGGAGCTCCCGAACGAAGTGACCCCCCCCCCTAGAAACTGCGGGGGCGGGGGGTGGGGTTCACATGTGGCAGCCGACAGATTGACCGCTTGGGTAAGAGCAGAAGCTGGCATGGCACAACGGGGTGCTGAGGGCAACGGGTCCTGGACCCCACCCGGGGTGGCCTTCTCCCAGCTCGTCGCCCAGAGCTGGTCTCGGGAAGCTGCCAGGGGGTGACGAGGAGGACGAGGAGGAGGAGGAGGGCGAAGAGGACGAAGAGGAGGACGAGGACGAGGAGGAGGAGGAAGAGGAGGACGAGGAGGAAGAGGAGGAAGAGGAGGGCGAGGAGGAGGAGGAGGAGAAGGAAGAGGAGGAAGAGGAAGAGGAAGAGGAAGAGGAGGGGGGAAGAGGAGGAAGAGGAGGACGAGGAGGAAGAGGAGGAAGAGGAGGGCGAGGAGGAGGAGGAGAAGGAAGAGGAGGAAGAGGAGGAAGAGGAGGAAGCGGAGGAAGAGGAGGAAAAGGAGGAGGAGGAAGAGGAGGGAGAGGAGGAAGAGGAGGAGGAGGAAGGGGAGGAAGAGGAGGAAGAGGAGGAAGCGGAGGAAGAGGAAGAGGAAGAGGAGGAAAAGGAGGAAGAGGAGGAGGACGAGGAGGAGGAAGAGGAGCGGGGGGGATAATGAGGTTGTCTGGGGAGCGCCGAGGGAGGCCCCCAGAGCGGGGAAAGAAACATCGGGGCCAGTCGCCCAGGACACATTTTTTGGTTTCCAGGCGCAGACGACAGGCGCCGGGGCCCCGTGGACGGGGACTCCGACAAGAAGCAGGACATCGGCGCGCCCGACAAAAGTGGGGAGGCCCCCCAAAGCGCCGGGGGAGGCCCCCCAAAGCGGGGAGGAACATCAGGGCCAGTCGCTCAGGACACATTCTGGTTTCCAGGCGCATACGACAAGCGCCGGGGCCCCGTGGACGGGGACTCCGACAAGAGGCAGGACATCGGCGCGCCCGACAAAAGCGCGAGCGTGGGTCGCGACAGCCTCTCCGCCCCTCGTTTTCTCCTAACGGATTCGGCAGCGTCCTGGTCTGCAGAGTCCTGCTGAGCTCACCGCTGGAGCCTGCTCAGGGAGCAGGGAGGGCAGAAGTTCAGTCGGGGCGTTGACCTAAGGAACCCTAAATGAGGAACGAGGCCCTTATTTACCATAAGTTAAACTTCGACTTCATATCGAAAACCTAAGGGTTCCTTCTTCAGCGCCCCGACTGTAGATTTCTAAAGGTGGGTCATGCCTGGCCTGACCTAGCTCACAAGTGGGTTCCATGTGCCCTGAGTAGGAGTAAGGTTTTGAGAGAATTCCGCTCGGCGGGCTCCGCGCACTTCGACCAGAGCTGTGCTCCCCCCAGACACCATGGCGCATCTGCGACCCACTTCGAGCCATGCAGTTATGGCTAGGCCAGATGTTGCCCATCTCAGCATGCACTTCCGACCTCCCTATAGCCCCAGCGGTGATCTCAGTGGCCCCTGGGGCCCCGAACCACGCGCGCCACCAAAATCAAGTCGGGCCTGTCCCCCTACCGGGGGATTTTCGACGAAAAATACAAAAATACTCCAAAACGAATCCAAACATGCTCCAAACATAGTCGGGGGACTATGTTTTGACTATGTTTTGACCTTTTTGGGGGCATCTTTGGGGGCATTTTTTTAGCTTTCGTCGAGCATTCACCTGTAGGGGGACGCGCCCGACTCAACACCAGAGGGCGCCGCCCCGTGGACCCCCGGGGGCGGGAGGCGCGGGCTCGACGGCGAGGAGCTGCCGCCCGCGCGGGCGCCTCGGGCCTGCACGCGCCCGCGCGCGCGCGCGGCCCCCCCTCCTCGGCGCCCTCCCGGTCTTGGCCACGGAGCCGAGGGCGTACATGTCGCCTCGGGCCCCCGCTTCTGACTGCCTACCAGACCACCCCAACCCAACCCGAAGACCCGAGTTTCGGGTTGGGGGGGGTAAGGGTTCCACGCGTGTTTTTTCGATGTTCCCCGACCCCCCCCCCCCTGGAAATCGACTGTAAATTTGAGCCCTCGGGTTGGGTTGGGGTGGTTTGGTGGGTGGTGAGCTTCGGGAGGACGCACAGGCGGGGCAGGGGCCGCGCGGGGGCTGAGCGGAACATCGCTCGGCACCGCCCCCGGGAGAAGGAACAATGTGAGCACCCAGCGGGGCTCGTTGCCTCACACCCCCTTGGGATACCCCCCCCCCTCGACGCTGCGTTCCAGCCGCCTCCGCCTGCAATCCGGGCGTCGCACTTCGAGGAGTCGATCCGGGATGACCCACCCGGAAGCTCGGGCTGGCGGGTCAACCGAGGCGGCAGAGAAGAGAGGTCTGGGGCTCCGGTCGTCAATCTTGGTGATGCTGCAGTCTTCTTGCCACATCGGCTTAAAGGGTCCCACCCGTCCGCTCAGGATCTGCATGCGAGCCCCTCCTGGCGTCCCGTCCCCCCTGGGAAAGGAGCAGCGCTAGAGAGGGACTGGCTCACGGGGGGAAACATCGCGCTGGAATCGGTGATGTATCGCCGATTGATCGGCGATGGGCCCCTGACAGCGACTCCACACGGTGCTGGGCGGGGTGGGCCATGACCCCCCCCACACACACCCACCCACCTGGGGCCGATTTTGCAAGGATATCCCTTGCCACTGTAGGGACAAGGGCGCACGCCAGTTTGGGACTCTGCGCGTCATTCTGTCAGATTCGCCAGCGGCGCAAGAACCACAACTGTTGGCCTCAATTCCTAGCACGCAGGAGGTCAGGAAAACGTGAGTTCAAATTATCCCGGCAAAGCAACCTAACAGCGATATGTAGAAGCATATCTGAAAGCATTCCCCTTAAGATTCAGATGAAAATCCAGTTGTAGAATTCTGCTGTTCTCGCAGTCGTAGTCGCATTCGCGATGACAGTCGCAGCGGCAACGGCAGTCGCAGTCACAGCCTCAGCCTCAGCCTGCCTCAGCCTCAGCCTCAGCCTGCCTCAGCCTCAGCCTGCCTCAGCCTCAGCCTCAGCCTGCTTCAGCCTCAGCCTCAGTCTGCCTTCAGCCTCGGCCTCAGCCTCAGCCTGCCTCAGCCTCAGCCTGCATCAGCCTCAGCCTCAGCCTCAGCCTGCCTCAGCATCAGCCTGCTTCAGCCTCAGCCTCAGCCTGCCTCAGCCTCAGCCTCAGTCTGCTTCAGCCTCAGCCTCAGTCTGCCTTCAGCCTCGGCCTCAGCCTCAGCCTGCCTCAGCCTCAGCCTGCCTCGGCCGCAGCATCAGCCTGCCTCAGCATTCAAAATGTGGCCCAGGAATGGAGTTCTGGGAACTAGAAGAACACGAAGTGGCCTACAGTTGGCTCCGGGCATTCAAAATCATGCCCAGGAATGGAGTTCTGGGAACTTGAAGAGCACGAAGTGGCCTACAGTTGGCTCCGGGCATCCAAAATGTGGCCCGGGAATGGAGTTCTGGGAAATCGAAGAGCACGAAGTGGCCTACAGTTGGCTCCGGGCATCCAAAATGTGGCCCGGGAATGGAGTTCTGGGAACTCGAAGAGCACGAAGTGGCCTACAGTTGGCTCCGGGCACTCAAAATGTAGCCCGGGAATGGAGTTCTGGGAGGTCGAAGAGCACGAAGTGTGTGACTGTTGGCGAAAAGCGAGCCCGGCTCTGTTCCCGGTTCTCCAGAATGTGGCCCGGGAATGGAGTTCTGGGAGGTCGAAGAGCACGAAGTGTGTGACTGTTAGCGAAAAACGATTCCCGGTTCTCCTCCCCGGCACCCGCCCAGACCTCCCTGAGGAGTCATGATGCTCTCTTTTGACCCTACTAGAAACCTATCAGCAAACGCTGCTAGGTAAAAACATTCCCTAAAACGAAAAGTCATTCAGAGGCCCGAGAAAAGCGGAACAATATTGCGACGACCCCCCAAGCCTCGATTTATGATATGCGACGTAGCGAAAAAATGCTCGACGCGGAAACCCCAATTATGTGCATGTCATAAGCCTGTCACGTCTTGCTGAGGATCTTTGTCTGTGAGCATCTGGGTGTGAGAGCGAATCTGCGTAGACGATGAGCGCGACAATGTCGACGACGATGTCGACGACGACCGCGACGACATCCTCATCCTTTGGACATCTCTCAGGAAAAGATGAAGGAAACACACGTGGAAGAGCGAGAAGGGATTCTTCTTGCCGTCCTCCCCGCGGCAACTCGGGCACAAACGCATGGCGTTGCTACGCCCGCTCACTGGCGTGCTATTCGTGGCGTTTGCTGACACTTGGTGTGCGCAGGTAACCACCTGTGTGTGAGCCTTAGCGTGAGTGAACCTGAACGTGGGTGATATAAGTGTGAGTGCGTCTGAATGTGAATGAATGTGGGTATGATTGAACCTGAATTTGAGCGAATTTGCGTATCATGTGTCGAAATACGGGTGGGTCTGAGTACGAGCGAGTCTGCGTGTGAGTGCGTCTGAGTGCGCCTGAGTGCGAGCGGGTCTAGGTGTGAGCGAATCTGGGTGTGAATGGGTCTGAATGTGAGCGAGCCTGGATACGATTGAGTCTGAGTGTGAGTGATATCTGACGGTGCGTGGATTGAGTGAGTCTGAGTGTTAGTTTGCCTGGACGTGATTGAGCTTGAACTTGAATAAATCTGAACATGGGTGAGCCTGGGTATGACTGAGTCTGACTATGAGTGAGTCCCACTATGAGTGAATCTGAAGTCTGAATGTGTTGAGTGGGTCTGGGTGAGGAAGACGCGCGCGCGAGCAAGTCTGAATGTGAATGCGTGCGTCAGAGTGATGTAGAGAAGGAGGAGGAGGAGGGGGAGGAGGAGGACGAGGAGGAAGAGAAAGAGGCGGTGAGCGATCGAGCGAGGGGTACGCAAGTCCCAAAAGAAACTTCGACGGCAGAACCACGGAAGCCGCTTGGGACGTCCCCACGCTCTTGGCGCGAATCCTGGAGTGTCCCCACCGCTGGCGGCTCCCCCCTTGAGAGTGCTGCGGCCAACGCCTCGCCTGAGACATCCCCACAAGCTGCTCCGAAGCTGAGGCACCTAAACGGGCAAGCCGCCTGCGACATCCCCACGATCTGGGCGCGACTCCTGGGATTTCCCCCCCACCTGGCGGGCCCCCCCCCTTGGAGTGCAGAAACCCGCGCCCCGCCGAAGACGTTGTCGCAAGCTGCCCCGACAGCCAAGGATGCTGGGCACCCAAACCGGCAACCTGCATGAGACATCCCCGCAATCTGGGCGCGACTCCTGGATTGCCCTCATCCTGGCAAGTGGCCCCGTGGGAGTACTGAAGCCAGCGCGTCGCCTGAGACGCCCCCACAAACTACCCGAAAGCAAAAAATCTCGGGCACGCGAACCGGCAAACCGCCTGAGACATCCCCACAATCTGGGCGCGACTCCTGGAGCGACGTCACCGTCGCGGTGGCCTTTTGGGAATGCTGAAATCAGCGCCTCGCCTGAGACATCCCCCCGACGTGCCCCGACTGCCAAAGCCGCTGGGCACCCAAACCATGAGATCTCCCCACAATCTGGGCGCGAATCCTGGAATGTCCTCACTCTGGCGGCTCCCCTTGGAAGTGCTGAAACCAGCGCTCCTCCTCCTCCTCCTCCTCCTCCTCCTCCTCCTCCTCCTCCTCCTCCTCTTCCACCCCCCCAGCCGCTAGACAACAGCGGGTTTTCCTCGTCTGCTGGCGGAGCCCACGGATGGCAGGGTAAAATCCGCTGCGAGCGGGGACAGATTCGTGTCCCACCTGGCTGGGGCCGCCCAATGACACGCCAGGGCAAGCGGGACACAATTGTCTGAAGTTCCCTACAAGGAGCTCCTGGCTGGCGTGGTCTGGCAACTTGGCAGGTGGGGAGAAATTCGGAGCTTCCTTCACAAAAGGTCTGTCCCGCCTGCCCCGGTCCTCGGCCGCGTCGAACAATCACTTCGTCCCTGAACGCGTTTTCGATGGCGTCTCTGGACTCTTGGAGCTTGGTTCCGGCTTCACGGGTTTCACGGGCCTCAAATCTGTGCAGTCTCGACGTGCGTCGACCTTCGGAGCCGCCTAGACCTTCGCAGAGGAGCCTAAAGTGATCGATCGCTCAGTCACTAGACTTGTTTTCGGTACTGTTTCGGGGGTCCGCGGGACTGGCCTTCCAGTTTCCTGAAGCTCCGAACGTCTGCGGCGAGCTCGTCCTACTCGTGGCGAGCGTCGAGCTCCCGACGCGTCGAGCCTGTCCTACTCGTGGCTTCCTGGCCCCCCCAATGGCCCGATGGCGAGCCTCTATCAGGTGTTGCACGGTAAAGCCGCGCGGCTTTACAGGGGGGTCGCAGGGGGGCGCCGCCCCCATCATTGTTGTCCAGGGTATCGTTTCACTGCGAGCCCCCTCAAAAAAAACAAACTCCTGATGTTGCTTTCCAAACAACTCCAAACTTCCGTCCACTGTCTGAACGCAAATCAGAAGCCAATCGGACGTTCACGGCCCTATGCATGTCGGCGTTCGGGCCGCAAGTCCCCTCAATGCATCCCTTTATCAAAGGGAAGTCGGCGGACAACGACCGATGAGAACGCTCGTCTTCCGAAACCAACCAGCAGCCAATCTAGGCGCCCATGGCACCGTGCGCGTAGGCTCCCGGGTCACAGCTCTTCTTTTTAAAGTTTCGCAGAATGGTCGGGCGGAGTGTCGACGGACAGAGACCGATCGGATGGCAACTGGGAAGACATTCGTTTATTGCGATACAGGCTACAATGATCGATTGCATCTCGTCGCTGCAAGCGCGACGCAGCAGCCGCAGACGCCGCGAAAGGAAACCACGCGAGACTCCTGGCTGGAAACCTGCGCGCCAAGTGGCGCCTTCAAAAGGACCACTCCACGTCCGCTTGGTACGCGCTAGCAAGGCTGTCTTACTCCTCCGAGCGCACGTCCCACTTGTTATTACTGATCTTCTGTAGCTTCTTGCCCTCAGCCTCCTCACCCGCATCGTGGCCACTCGTCCTCTTCGTAGGCTTCACGTCTGGCTCTCCCAGCTTGCTCTTCTCCTCGAGGCCGCCCTTGCCCATACTCTTTTTCAATTTCTGCGCCGTCTCGGCCTCGATCTTCGCATTCAAGGCCTTGCGCAGCTTCTTGAAGTCCTCGCCCCTCTGGGTAAATGTCGGAAGCAAAGGCTCGAAGCCTCCGCGGCGGCGGCGTCCAACTCAGGCAAGGCGCGGGGTCGGTATTTCAAGGCGTTGATATCCTGCTCCCCATGCGCCAAATCGTCGGCCAAGGGGTCCGCGGGCAAGTCCAGCTCGCGCATGGCGGCGATGAGCTCCCCGGCGATATGCACCTCGGTTTTCTTTTTGCTCCTCGGAGGCGTCTTCCTGTCGGGCTCAGGGATGAAAAGCTGCCGAAAGTGACTTTTTTGACAGCCCTCTTCTCCCCTGCGGCCTTGGGCATCGTCTTCGGCACTTTGGCCGCCAACACCCCACGCCGTTTCTAAACAGCCACATCGATCAATGAACGCAGAAGCCTTCCGTACTCAGGGTCCCGCAGCAGAGCTGCCTTTTGGTCGTTCGCGCTCATTGGCACGGACTCCAAGCGCAGGCCGCGCCAGGGAGCATCCACATGCCGTTGCCGCCTGCTACGGTAGACTGGGTAGCGACCTCGGACCACCCCCCCCCCCCCGAATCGATTGAAAAACGCGCAGCCTGTTCGTCACCACCGTCTCGATAGCATCCGTACCCCGTGTCTCCCCAGCGAAAGCGCGGGCGCGCAGCTGCTTGCACGACTTCTCGATGTCGCAGCGCCTTGCCCACTCGGCCACCACATTCTTGAACTCCGGGGCAGGCCTCGGACACCCGAAAGCCACGCGACTGCGCAACTCCGTGGCGGATGCGCCGCATGCTTCCAAGAATGCATCGGCGCTTTGAAAAAGCGCCGGGCGACCCAAGCACGAGTGCGCCGCGCTCGACCTATCTCCTTGGGTCCCGACCATGTCTGCGTACTTTTTCATGACGTCCGGCCTCTGGTGGAGCACCGAAAACTCATGGCACCGCTCGCTGGCCTCCCACGGCCTGCGCCCGCCCTGGCTCCCCGCGTCCTTCTTGGGGGCGAGCGACTTCGTTGTGGCGCCAGCGAAAGGCATGGCGAAAAAGTGCCGAATCGGGCAGAGGCCAAGGCGAGGGCGCACTGAAAGGGACAGCGCTCGGGAGCAGCAGTCGATTGAGCCGAAATCGTTACATCATCTCGATGGGGCATTCCGAAGCTCGCGGCTGACCGCCGAACATCGGCGATCGTCTCCTGGGGCTTCGGTGATCCAGAACGTCTGGACCCGAGGAACTCATTCTTTGATGCAGGCCCGACGATTCTGAGGACCCCCGTCAGATGCCACTCGAAGTGGAATGCAACCTCAGTGTCGGTTCGCGATTTCGCGTGCGACAGGTCTATGCACTTTTCCAGATCATTGCTAATATTCCCAGCCTCTCTGGGTGATGTGTTGTTTCTTGTCGATCGTTTTCAACATGTGCAATTCCCTCAAACATTTCTTCGGGAAGTCCAGGGGGTTTGCCCCTCGCAACTCGCCGCCGGCCGAAGGGTGGAATGCCCCCGAAACTGAATAATCTGCCTGTCGACCCTCTTGAAAATACCCTGGCGGCTCACTGCTGGAAGTAATGAAACTGCGCCGCACCTGAGACATCCACACAATCAGCTCTGAAAATAAGAGCTTTGAGTTCAAATGCGCAAACCGCTCGAGACAGCCACGCGTTCGCAGCGCGAATCCTGAATGTCCCCACCCTTGGCGGCTCACCCTTGGGAGTGCTGACGCCAACACCTCGCCTGAGACATCCTCACGATCTGAGCCGAAAGCAAAGGATGTTGGGCACCCAAACTGGCAATCCGCCTGAGACATCCCCACAATCTGGGAACGAATCTTGAAGGTGCCCACCCTTGGCGGCTGCCAATTGGGAGCGTTGAAAACAAAGCCTCGCTTGAGACATGCTCACAATCCGCTCCGGAAGCCAAAGATGTTGGGCACCTAAACCTGCAAACCACCTGAAACATCCCCCACACTCTGGGCACGACTTCTTGACTGTCCCCACCCCTGGCGGCTCCCCCTTTGGAGTGGTGGAACAAGCGTCTCGCTTGAGACATCCTCACAAACTCCCCCAGACGCAAAGGATGGTGGGCACCCTGGTGCGCAAACCGCCTGAGACATCCCCACAATTTGAGCGCGAATCCTGGAGTGCTGCAGCCAACACCTCGCCAGAGACATCCCCACAGCCAGCCTGCGTGGTTCTGCCCCCCCCGCCTCGCGTGGAGCCCGCGCCCGGCTTCCGCTTCCACTGGGCGCCGCCCAGTCTTTGGCTCTGATGCGTGCGCCGGCCCTGGACTCGGCTTTCTGCCTCTCCGCCCTCCTCACTCACCGCCGCCCCTGGGCCTTCGCGAGGCCTCGCGCGTCGCCCTGCCGCTGCCCCGCGCCGGCGCTCTCCCCGCGCCCCCCTTTCCGCGCTGCCCGCCTTCTTGCCGGACCCGCCCCGCACTGCGGCTGCCGGCTCCTCCCCTGGGTGCGCCCGCGGTGCCGCCCCGCGCCCGATGCCGGGGGCTGCCCCGCAGCCTGGGCGCCCCGCGCGACCCCCGCGGCCCCGCCGCATGAGTGCGCCTCCCTCCTCTTCTTGTCTCTGCGCCCGTCCCTCTTCCCTCTGCTGCTGCACGCGGGACACGTCGCAACGCCGTAGCCCGAGTTGCTCGGACGCGCGAGCGGATCGGAAAACGTGTGTGTGTGTGTGTGTGTGTGTGAATGAGTGGGTGGGTGAGTGAGTGAGTGAGTGAGTGAGTGAGCGTGTGGTTCTGAATATGAATGAGTCTGAGTGAGGAAGTGTTGTGGTTGAGTCTGAGTGAGGAAAAGTGATTATGATGTTGATTGAATATGGGTATGAATGCGTCTGACTTTGTGCGTGTGACACTGAATACGAGTGCGTCAACATTGCGAATGATGGGTGTGTCTGAGTATGAATGAATATAAAAACACATGAGCCCGAGTGTGAATGAGTCTGAACATCCGTGATTCTGAGTTTGAATGGGTAAATCTAAGACAGAGGACGAGGAGGAGAAGGAGGAGGAGGGGGGGAAGTGGAGATTTGGGGAAGTCTGAAATATATTGTTTTATATAAACAACATTCCATCGGAAGAGATGGGGAATAACAAGCGCCCAATCTTAGGATATGGGGGATAATCTCGTCAGGACTCACAGCCAGAGTCCTATATCCCATCTTTGTGCAGCATCTATTGATCCCGATCGATCTGTAAGGGTCCAGGGCCCGAAACTGAACGACAACGCGGAAAACATTGCGACGCGCGGACCTGACATATTCTCGATCCTCGACCCCTCCCCTGCGTGCGCCCGCGATGCCGCCCCGCGCCCGATGCCAGGGGCTGCCCCGCAGCCTGGCCGCCCTGCGCGCCCCCCGCGGCCCCGCCGCGTGAGTGCCTCCTCCCTCCTCTTCCTGCCTCTGCGGCCCTCCCGCTTCCTCTTCCCTTTTCTGCTGCACGCGGGGCAACTCGCACCGCCTTAGCCCGATGTGCTCGGACGTGCGGGCGGATCGCCTCTGCCGCGCTGCGTCGGAAAACGCGCGTGTGAGAGAGAGAGAGTGTGTGCGGCTCTGAGTATGATTCAGTCCGAGTGCCTGAAGAAAGGATGTGACTGAGTCTGAATGAGGAAGAGTGAGTCTGAATATGGGCATGAGTGACTGTAGCTGTGTCGAACTGCGACTGCTGAGTAAGTCTGAACACGAATGAATATGAAGACACATGAGTCGGAATGTGAGTGAGTCTGAACATCCGTGATTCTGAATTTGAGTGGGTGAGTCTACGGCAGAAGAGAAGGAGGAGGAGGATGAGGAGGAGGAGGGTGTGGAGTGTGTGAGGGAGGAGGTTCGGAGGCGTCTGAGTAAGAAGAAACACTCCACCTTATGAGAACAGGGAGTCAAAAACACCCCATCTTAGGATACGGGACAAATCGTGTCAGAACTCACAGCCAGAGCTCTGGACTACATCTTTCTGCGGCATCTTTTGATCCCGATCGATCTATGAAAGTCCAGGGCCCGAAACCGAGGGACAACGCGGAAAACATTGCGACGCGCGGATCTCAAAGATTATCGATCCTCGACCTCGTCGCGACGCATGGATTTGTTCAACGCGGGGTCGCCAGACATCCCGACCCTGTGTTCCCCAGGGAAATCTTCTGACACCAGACCCGTTATTGTTGACAGCCCCGAGGCCTGGCGAGACTCCCCAGACGACGAAAACTGCGGAAAACATGCCGCCTTCGCATCCAGACATCCTAAGTCATGACTTTTTCAATGCGGGTTTCCAGAAGTCCCCACTCGATTCGACTGAACATCATGTTTGGGGTGACTCAATTCTGTAGTCGATCCCCTACTCGACCCTTCCGCAGGGGTAGTCCTTCGTCCCAGGCCCGTTTTTGACGGCCCCAGCGGGGCTCGATATCAGGCCTGGAGGTCGAGATCCAGGAAACACGCAGGATTGAACAATCGGAGATCATATCGTCGTATATCTGGGTCTGAGAACAACAGTGTGTCGCCGCGCGGTTAGGATTTGTTCGGCGCCATTTCGGTGGCCAGTGGCCAGCGGGCGGGTGCATAGGTGCCCGGGTGCCCGTGGGTGCCCGGTGCCCCAGGATTTCGGTGGCCAATGGCCGGGTGCCTGGGTGCCTGGGTGCCCGTCGGTGCCCAGGTGCCCGGGTGCTCGGGGGTGCCCAGAGGTGCCCGGGGGTGCGCGGGTACCCTATAGTCATATAGCCCTAAAGCCTTATAGCTCTATAGCCTTATAGCCCGATAGCCCATACAGTCCATATAACCTTAAAACCCAATAGCCCAATAGCCCAATAGCCCTATAGCCCTATAGCCCTATAGCTCTATGGCCCTATAGCCCTAGAGCCCTAGAGCCCGATAGCTCTAGAAACCTATAGCCCTATAGCCCTATAGCTCTATAGCCCTATAGCCCTATAGCCCTATAGCCCTATAGTCCTATAGCCCCTTTAGCCCAATAGCCCAATAGCCCAATAGCCCTATACCACTATAGCCATATAGCCCATATAGCCCTATAGCCCCATAGCCATATAGCCCCATAGCCCCAACAAAAATCTGATTGGGCTTTTCTCCGGTATCATATCGTCGTATATCTGGGTCTGAGAACAACAATGTGTCGCCGCGCCGATTGTCCTGAACGCGCCCAAATACCCGAAGCCGGCACCGCGGCAAACCCTGCGTCCGAAGCGGAGTTTGCCCTTGTGGATGAGGCGCCCTCTTAAAGACGGAATGCCGCACATCGGAACAACTGGCGTGGCGATATATACGGGTACCGCTACTGCCCAGAACCGTCCTAAGGCGCGCTCTGACCAGAATCTCGGAGAGAACCTGGCCGTGGCGACGAGCGACGAGGGCTCGCCAGGGAAAGCAGCGGCATCGGAATCCGACTCCTCCTCTGAGCCTGGGCTCCCCTCCGAACCCTGAGATCCGACGCTACGAAAAAAGCTGCAGCATCGCGGAAAAGCACGGCCAGAGCCCCGGAGCCCATCTTCCCGCGCCACTCTTCGAGCCGCCTCGAGCGTGGACGGCCCCGGGGGGCCCGAAACCTGGCGAGCACGCCCGGCTCGAGAA